CACACACACACACACACACACACACACACACACACACACACACACATACACATGTACTGAAGCCACTGACCAAGGATCATATCCTCTAATTAGTATCAGTTCATGTCTATCAAACTCGATGGCCTCACATTGCTCCAGGTTTTCTTCAGAGTTAACTCTGTAGTTTTTCCAACAGAGAGTTGAAAAATGTACACAACTTTTTTGTATGATTGCAGTAAAAGTAACAGTACAGTACAGGTACTTTAAAAAGAAGGTTTTGTGGCATGTTGGAAGATTTTTGATGCGTTGCGGAAAGCTAAAATGTAAAGACAAAGATGAGGAAGTTTTCTGAATTACAAGACAGTGTTTTAATAGTAATCTGTTTTCATTTTCAAAACATCATGTGATCAGAAGTATAGTTCACCTTGACCTCTTGGCTACCAGCTACCCCTRAAGCAGCAAGTAATCAGAGCTGTAAAGCTACAACAAATTCAAGTTAAARCTTATTATTAAAGTTTAGGTGACATATTACTGATATTTGTTGACTGATACTGATATTTCTAGTGTTTAAAACTGTTCTAAAGTCATCAGAGGCCTGAATTTGAGTGGATTTTAAAGGCAGCACTGGATGTATCAGAACTGAATCAGCGGGCGAAGGTTCAGCTGAGAGTTGCGTCAGTCTTGTTGCTGCACTCTTTAACAACACTGATCCCTGACCGCCTGATCTGTCTCTGGACAGGAAGCACAGGAAGGAGCCCAAAGAGAAGATCCAGCACACAACTTCTGCCCTGAAAAGAGGAACAGCTGTAAACACACAGGCCTGACGACGACGTGGATACTTGAAATCATTCGCAAACTTTGGTTTGTTCGTGAGAAACTTCAGCAAACAGAAATCCACCAAATGTGACACTAAAACTGTCCAAATAAAATGTATGCAAGTGGAACTAAGAAAAATGAACTCTTCGAGATGATTAAACACTTTAAAAACCTAAAATATACTTTTTAAAATAATGTGTTTAATATTATAATTATACATAATTGGGTTTAGTTTTGTGTTCATGAAAAACAAAACTTATAGGTGTAGAAGGTGATGATGTGGTGGAGGGGAAGGCCCGGGTGGGGCAATGGTCCCTGAGGAGCCTGAGTTTGGGTAGCTGGTGCTCATGTATAACTCACAGCTCAGTGCTTGTGTGTGTTTGTGTGTCAGTGCGTGTGTGTCGGTGTGTGTGTGTGTGTGTGTGTGCATGCAAAATGTACCAGTGACGGGATGTGGGTAGCCAGAAAGGTGATAATGTTGAGGTAAATGAAAGAAACGTGTAAAAAAAAAGGATTTTTCTCTTCGAAACGCATGTTTTGTTGTAGTTGATCTCTTTGAAAAATGTCACACAAAACACAGACATTTTGACTTTTAATTTCTGCAAGAAAAAAAAAAAACAAAAGAAAAAAAAAACAAAGTATAGAAAATCTAAAACAGTAATATCTTAAAAGAAGCTGTGCTCAAAGATAAAGGGAATGCAATGACTGCAAACATTTATAAAAGAACAAATTCAGCATCATACTGTAGATGCACAAATCATGGATTTATTATGTCAGCTGTTTCTTCTCAACTTTGAATAAAGGAAATACATTTACTTTACATTGACTTTACAATAAGTCAAGTAAACGTAAACAGCTGGCATGYCTTTTCTTAATTAAATCCATTATATCTGTTTTTTGAGAGACGTTGAGTGATACCAACAAAGTATTTCTAAAAAGTTAGGATGRGGAATGTTTACCTGTGATTTTGATCACTTCATCTTTAAAACCACAGTTGGAGTTTTTGTGATCTGAGACTGTAGTTTTGAAAGTGAAACATTTTTTATAAGTTTTTAACGAGTTCTCCGTCATGTTTGTTTGATTTGTGTTGTTTCTGCTGTAGTGGCCTGATTCACAAGGGGTTTTGCATCATTTAAAGTTGGATGATGTTGGATGATGTCTGATACTTGTTACTCAAAAGCATTCAGTCATCAGAAAAAAAAATTTGCTTTTGATGACACCTGAGTCAACCTCACATCAGTATTTTTGAACTGTGTGCTGATGTTCATGTTCTTTCAGATGGAGGAGATATGGTTTGTGATTTCCAAAAAAATAATTTTTACTGTTGGTTTACCAAACCTCTTTGGTCTTCGTGTACGTTTATTTGCCAGGCTGAATTTTTATGTCACAAAAAACTGTTAAAAAATGTCTGCTGTGATATGGTTGCAGTTTTTCTGTTTACATTGATCCTTGCCTCAATTAAAGGCAACTAGAATTACAATAGGTTTAATTTTTTTTCATTGAAAACCTAGATGTCTTTTAAGACAACACCCTCACTCTCAAATTAAAAATGCCAAAAAAAAAAACAACAACATTTAAACCTACTATTAACCATAACAACTTTTAAAATGTTTGAACTTTTAAAATGGGGTTTGTGTTTAAAAACTTCCACAAAATTATGTTATACATAACACAAATGGTAGCTTTTAAATTATACTGGCATGAAAAGACTTTCACATTATTATCTGAARTTTAAATATTTTTTTCATTAATCTAAATGTAATACATCTCAAACAGAATTTCATTACAAATAAGTTGTAAATCTAGTAAAAGGAAAAAGTGCAAAAATGTTACAATACTCCATTTGTATTTGTAWAACCGAGTAAACACAAGAACATTCAACTGTTTTACCAGTAATGGATGTCTGAGGTATCTAATACCATGATTTATGAGCAGCTTTATGTCTGTCTTTTAAAGGAACTAAATAACCAATGAGCTTCTCCTGGTCCCAGTGATCTCTCTTGTTTAACCATTCACAACTAAAATTAACTGTTGGTTTTCAAAGTGGTCGGTCAAGACCCAAACATCAAGTTTGGGGTCCAGAGATGATTTCAAGAAAGAATATATGATAATTAGGAATTTGTTTTCAGACATTTGATACAAAACATAAAACGTATTGTAAGCAATTAAAATAGTCGAATGGTGTTTTAAATCATTATGTTCCTGTTTATGTGGCCAAATTGTGATAGTTCTGATCACAAGTTTCTGCTGCTGATAATTTGTGGGTCAGAAGCTGGAAATTTTGAGAACCGTTGCATTAAATCATAAAGTCTCCAAAATATTATTTTAACAATTTACAGTTGTTTGACAACATAATGTTTTATTGTAAAAGCGTTGGAAACAATTTTACTAAATTATTTAACCTCTCAGTAAACAACGGAATAGATCAATTGTTTAGTTAACAGTAAGACACTGTAACACACACACACACACACACACACACACACACACACACAC